GGGACTGAGAGGATCTTTGATCTAAAGGCTTCTTCCTGCAGGTTTTATCTCTCCAGACACAAAAATACAAGGCTTATGTCTATTCTCTTAAGAACTGAACAACACGTCGAAGACGAGAGAGAGAGGGAGAGAGAGGGAGAGAAGGCCTTCCAAGATGACATTTAATCATCATAAAAATACGTGCATGAATGTGACAAAGAGAAAAAAATTGCATATATCTTAAAAATAACTATGTAACCGAAACCTAACCAAATAGTAAAAAAAAAAAAAAAAGTGCAGTAATGTGTGCGGTGACTTGGACAGACTAGGACAGATAAATATTGCCAGCTGATCTCCTTTCATAAGATGACTATTCCATATTTCAAGGGAGTGTCTCCCTTTTTCAACCAAGTGGTCCCTGATCCTGACAGATGACATATCACTGCTTACACGTCCTGTTTTGGGGCTTCATGCAAGTATTTTCTGTTCTCTTTTCTTTTTGAGGGCATTTTTCAATGTATTTGCTACATACATAAACAGGTCTTTAGGGACCCACTGTAAAAAGCAGCGTTGAGAATAACTCCATCCTCACATCTCATTTCACACTTCTAGTGGCAATCACATGAAAGTGTCCCCTTTGGGGAAAGGGTGACTCTTAAATTGTGTTTAAGCCCTTATTCAGAAAATTAGAAACCCTAACTCTGTTCCACTGCATCTCTATCAGGGGCAGCAAAGGTGGAGGCTGAAACCTTACCTGTCCCCTAGCTTATTTGTCACCACCACCCAAGCCAATGTGCATTAGGTGTCAGGAGCTAATATGGAAGTACAAGAAATAGAGCAGTGTTGTGGGTCATTCAAACCCCAGCAACCACACTCCTTCTCTTGGGATCAGCTGCGGGAATTGTATTTCTTCACTGGCTATGCACGTGCCCTGCTGCCATCTGCTCTGCCTTCATGGAAATTCAGGTTAGGTTCTGCTCGGCTTCGTCTGCTTTGCCTCAGGTTTTTGGCAGCCACACATGTGTGCAAGTTTCTCTCAGCTCTGCCTAAATTGAGAGAGGCTTGAGGGTGTGGCTGGAGAGCTTGAGTTGGGAGTTACCGAGTGGGGCACGTCATGGTCCATCACCCCCTGCAGCCCTCTCTGGTGACACCCAACCAAAGCCCTCTCTTACGTGGTGTGTCCCCCATGCATCATACTTGCTACTGACCTGCATGTGGGTATATGATAACCGGCATTTAGCACTGTGGACCCTTGCATGCGGTAAAAGTCCCCAAGAAACATAAACTGGAAGGAGGTAATAATCTCTTGCATCAAGCAGGGTGAGACTAGCAAGCTCCTCAGTGTGTCCTGGCATCCTGAGAGCAAATTGCACCTTCAGAGCAGCATTTTACCAAAACCCTACAGAGAATGTGATGTACATCCCTCCTCATCTGTATGCTGAACGGGGGGAGCTACAGCCCCCCCCATTTCCTTAGTAAGTAGCAACAGTGTGCGTGGAGAGGCGTATATGATGTATATGTGCACATTTTTTTATTTATGTATTTATTATCACTAGTCCAAATTCAGCCTTGAAAAAATTCAATTGACCCTACGTCTTCTGTCTAGCAGTGTGTGAATGACCCGTGTGTCTGCGAAGCTGGATCATTGCCAGAGCACTGAGGGTTTCCCGGCTGCAAGAGGTGGTGTCCTCACTGCACCTCTGGCTCTACACAGTCCTCTCCCCTTCTTCAGAAGCAACACGTGGAGGCCCAGAGAGAGACAAAATGTTGTTTGCATTCTCAACTCTATTTAGGTGTGTAATGCTGCAGGCAGGTACTTAGTGGGGTTTCCAGGAGCATCTCTGCAGAGTTCATTCCTGCAGCCCCCCTGGCTCTCGTGGTGCCTCAAGACCAAGGTCTTGTGGGGCACGCGTGGGCCATAACAGCCCTGACCAGCCCCACCTGGGACCCCCAGCCAGGCACCCTGCCCAGGGTCCCCACCTGAGCTACACTCCCCTCCCTCCTGGCTGGACCTGATGCAAGCCCAGGTTGCAAACACATTGAAAAAAGAAGAGAGCTGGGGAGACAAAGATGCTCGCAAGCTGTGGCGTGACCCTGCCAGACCTTTTTGGGCAGAGAACATCCCAGGCAGCACCCCTGTGCCCTGGTGCTTTGCAGAGGGCAGAGCTCTGGTCTCCCGTCACTCCTGCTGCCGCACTCTTTACTTCTAGGTAGGGAGCACCTCCTGAGTCACCCTTGTCCCAGGTCTGCTTCCCTGGCTTAGATGTACACAAGCATAATGGAAGCATTTATGATCAAATCCCTTCCTTTGGGATAGATCTAGTGTGGTTTTTACCTCCTATTAACATCATTTATGCACTTCCTATGATTAAGAGACAATGTCATGTGCTCCTTTGCTGCTGTACCAAGACGGCTTTAGGTCTTACTGTCTTAGGGACTTAAAAGTAATATAAAATCTATTCGGCAAAAGGCAGGGCTTGCTATCTGATTTGAGTGGGAAGGAGAAAGATTTAACACTGGGGGTGGTCACCTTCCCGGCTGGCCTCTAAATCTACGCATACAAATCCCTCATTTGTCTGACCAGACTGCATATTTTAAAAGCTTTGGGGTTTTTCTTTAATTGGTTTAAGAGCTTGGCTAATGCATAAGGTATAGCAAAAACCAGCTCTGTGTTATACACGATTTTCTTTCCACAGCCTGAAATAAAAGAAAATAACACAGCCGATTACAGGCTAGAGCTGTATGCTTTGCAGGTTTACATGTCTGGGAGCAGCTTGGGATCTATCTATATACTTTATAAGTGCCATTGTTTAGTTTGTATTTTGCTATAGATATAAAGCGGAAACCATTCTGAAGACCTCTCTGCTAAGAAGATTTTTCTTGCCTATTATTAGCACTCTGCTTTTGCAGCAAGTGCTTATGAGCCAATATGCAGAGTTTTAAAGGACTTCAAAGTGTCATTGGGAACCAAGTGATATGTGTGTTAAAAAGGGTTTAATGGAGCTGCAGTGACTGTAGCACAGTGTCTTTTTATAGCAAGTTTTTACAGCGTTAAGAAAAACATCCTGCAGATTTCAGTAGGATTGGCATATGGTTAAGGTACTTTGCACTGTGATTTTTGTTTATCTGCTATTTAAAAAAAAAGAAAACCAGCATAACTAGCTATAGGGAGAATGATAAGCAGGAACAGGTCTGCAAAACTCAGGCAACAGCTATTACCTCTATTTTAGGTTTCTTTTTTTTATTATTTTTTAGAAGAAAAGCATACATTTGGAAGCCAATGGCTTGGTTTAGAGAATAGAGATATGGAGTGATTCGTATTCACATTGAAGCTTTTAATAGTCTTTTTTTTTTTTTTCCCCTTTTCAGAGCCACTGGATTATATTACTATCACAAGGCAAATCCTGCTTATTAAAATCGAGGCAAACTTTCCAGGACTGTCTTTAAAATTGTTATAGGTCAGGCTTCCACAGAAAAGAAGTGGTTTGCAAAAACCACATTAAGTACTAAAGCTGACGTGATCCCTGGTCATGTTGATCTGCAGGAATGTCTGAAGATGTGGCAGGGAATCACTGATTTTAATGTATTCTCTATTTTTCCTTTTACAACACCATTTACCAGTCTCCTTTAATTATGCCTAGTAAGCATGTAGGGATGCCAAAGGAGACAGGCTCCTCATTGCACTTTAGCAACCTATGTCAACAGCCTGCCCACTTCTGAAAAAGCCAGGCAAGGAGTGGAAAGGAAAGATGTGTACCTGCAGCCAGCTCGGGGGGTAAGAGACTTGCCCGGGGTTATACAAAAAGGCAGAAGCAGAAATGGGACATAGCTTTGGCCCTCCAGTGCCTCAGTCCTACATCGTATCCTTATAGCCATCCTTGCATCCTCAGTGTCTGGGATGTAGCTGTTTGGACTTGTTCCACCTCTGAAGTGACGTCACTTAAACGTGTTTTACTCTCTGCTTTTGCTTCAGGCTGGGGAACGACTTGTTTCTGCCTTATCTGGGGGAATAAAAAAAAAAAAGATACAGTCTTTAGTTGTTGTGACTGCCAAAGTAGGAAAAGATCAGGATTTTTCAAGCCTCGCAGGCGTCTGGGGGCTGCAAATGAACATGCTCAAAGCTGATGAGAACCGGGGTTCAGCTCCCGCTGCTGCCCTTACGCCGGCAGCTGCCTCCCATCCCCCCCAGCTCGACCCCAGCAGAACCAAAGCCCCGGCAAAACCCTGGCGTGGGAGCCCCGCGGCCGCAGTGCCCCATCCCTCCCATCCCCCGCCGCTCCAGCCCAAGTGGCCTCTTTCTTTTATTTTTCACGCCCGGTCCTCCCAAACGGAAAGCCTGGTCAAAAAATCTTACAGAAGCAGCCGGAGAGATATTTTTCTTCTTGTCTGCGGAGGAGGGCAGAGGAGTGACGGGGGGGGGGGAGGGTTGGTTGTTTTTTTTTTTTTTTTGCAACCCT